ATTTTTTTTTTTTTTTTTTTTTTTTTTTTTTTTTTTTTTAATTTAATCAACTTTGGCTTTGGGATGAAACACAGACTGCATCCAAACATCTCTTCTTGCACATGATTTTTAGTCTGATTATTTATCTCGCACGTGACTATTATTTGGCATTTTATACAGCTACTATTTCATCGTTGCTTTCTCGCCCTTCCTTTGACCAGTAGGTCCTTCTCACATGTTCATACACGTAATTTTTTAGGTTAGGCGATGTGACACGAGTGAAACTTTTTGAGACGTGGTCATCTGTTTCCAAACGAGATTTGATACTCCTTCGGGAATTGGCAAAAAGAGGTGCGCCTGTGCCTCGGTATGATTTTTCAATCCGTTTTTTTTTTGCGGCTTTAAAAACTAGATTTGCGCATTTCGCTGTTAAATGAACTCTTTATCAAAGTAGTTTCTATGAAGAATTTGGTTGGAATTAAACGGTTGAAAACTACTGCAACAGTATGAACACATCGGAATTTCTTATTAAAAATTGCTGCAAATAACTGTTTTTTCATGGTTCACTACTTGTAAAAAGGTCACTGAAGGGAATGAAAAAACAATTTTGACAGTAGAAATGATAGTCTAAGGGTTAGCGAGAACTTATATTTGGAACATTTGGATTGGCTGTAATTCGTAACTGAGCTCTCAAATTTTTGCGATTTTTTTTTACCAATACTGCGTTGCCTGGTGACGATTGTGACGTTCGTGATGTTTTTTCAAGTTTAGGGTATTATTACGCTGTTAACGCATAATTGTTGGAGGAGAATGAAAGAATGGTTCGATTTTTGTATGAAACCAACCTTCCTGTCATGATGTTTTGTTGCCTATGAAAACGAAAAATGACCATTTATTTAGCTTTCGAAGGGAGAATGCTTTTGTGCAGTGGTGTGATAGCTTAAAAGTGGTGAGAAATATCCTAGACCAGCAGAGGCATGCGTAGTTCTGCGTGGGGTTTGAGTAGCGCCAAAAGTTCCGCAATGGGAATTTTGGTTATTCTTTATTGTTTTAGCGATTGTTATAGGTTATACTGTTCGTTAAGCGAAATAGCCGCTTCGTTACAAGTATTTTTGAAGTACCTTAAGTCGAAGTGCAGGTGCAAGTCAAAGCTCGTTTTAGACATGCGATTCCCCAGATGGATGTTTTCATTTTTATAGGTTTCGCTACGAAAGTCGAAATATCCCATCGGTGGAGGTATGTTTGGACGTGGACGAGCATCACCTCGAGTTATCAATAATCAGAGTATCGGATGCTCGGTTGCCAACAGGTTCTCGTTCCTCCACTCTGCTCTGCTTTGCTCCTTATTTCAATCGTGCGCACAGGAAACGCCGCCGAAATGCAGCAACGAGTAAGGGCTGCCGTAGCAAAATTGTGTCGTTGTGCTTATTTGCTTGCTTTCTTCGTTTTCATTTCTCGCTTTGCATGGATAATGGGGAATTGTTTTTGGTGATTTTTAGTAAAACCATAAAAATGGGTGCGCGTGCTTGATAAAGTTAACAAGTAACTGTATAAAGTAAGCAAGCTTGCATATGAACTGTGATTTAGAGAACAATGACTTTAGTTAGGTGTTCGATTGCATCTCGAGTAACATCACTGGTTTCTGTTGAGCTTGGTGATATTGTATATTTTACCCTATTAAATACTGCATTATTAATTTCTAAGTTCAAA